ATGAAATGCAATTTTCATATAAAACTATTATTTAAACGATAAGAAAGTTTTCAGAAATATTTTTCTCAATAAGAAAATGACTTAATCTATGAATTTATGAATTTATAAATAAATTGATTGGTCTCAGATGGTTAAACAAAATGTCAAATATTCCCGAAATATACTGTATTGACAAAAAAGTTTTTATTTTATGAAATATCTATAAAATAGCTAAACTTGTATTGAATTGACACTTGAATAGCGCCCGAAGGCATCACCACTTATGACATAAACATTAATTACAGGTTCTCTTCGGATCACTTCCAACCAGTTTTTCACTATTAGTTTCGTTAAGACTTTCTTTGTTAACGAGAATTCAATTCATTTTGTTTTTATATATTATTTCTAATTACAGTATTGAATAATAATTATTTTTAAATACACAAAATAATAAACAATTTGCTTTTTAAAAATCATAGTATACATTTTAGCAAAAATATGCTAAAATTAATGTTAAAAACCCGATGACTTATTGAATGATATGCCAGTGAAACACATCCCGACATAAGTATTGCTATTTCACACCCTTTTCCGCATAATATATTATATTAGCTATAATTCTTGAACAAATTCTTTTTTACTATTATTTATAACTCATTGTGTAAATAAGTTTATTAAAAATCGCATGTATAATAAATGTGACATTGATTTGCAGCCAACACTGGGATATGCACCAAACTATTCAATGAATTATGAAATTAAATCGTTTTGTATATAATGTGCTCAACATTTTCGTTATTTTATTTCTGTTTAATGTAATTCATGGCAAGAAAAAGGGTAAGAATTATAACGAATATTATTATTCAAAACACATTTCAATTATATTTCTATCAAAACAAAGAGAGAATTTCTGACAGATATTATGGAAGCAGTGATTCTCGTGAAGAGACGGATGAGGAGGGAGGCGATGAAGAAGAGTCGGGATACTCACGGCCCAGACCTCCCCCTCAACCACAACGTGGAGGTCGTGGTCGGGGACCTCCGGGCGGACTACCACCGGGACAGGCGAAGAAACAACAGAATAGGGAGACTGTAGTGTCATATGAGGGACCCTACATAGACCAGAGGCCCCCACAGGTATGTAAC